ATGTGGGACGCCTACCACAGCATGGCTTGCCAAGTGGTGCCATGTCCACACCTGGGATCCAAACCAGCGGACCCTGGGCCACCAAAGCAGAGCATGTGCACTAACTGCTGTGTCACTGGGCCAGCCCCTAGCCTTCTCTTTTTTCTTAGTGAAGCCTAGCTAAAGATTTGTCAATTTGGTTTCTCTTTTCAAAGAACCAACTCTTAGTTTCATTGCTCTTTTCTATTGTTTTTTTTTCTGTCTATTTCATTCATTTCTGCTCTTTTATTCTTTCTTTCCTTCTACTGACTTTGGACTTCATTTGTTTTTCTTTTTCTAGTTCCTTTAGGTGTAATGTTAGATTGTTTATTTGAGATTTTTTTTGTTTCTTAAAGTAGGCTTGTATTGCTATAAATTTCCCTCTTAGTACTGCTTTTGCTCTATCCCGTAGATTTTGCTATGTTGAATTTTCATTTTCATTTGTCTCAAGGTATTTGTGATTTCTCCTTTGATTGTTTTCATTGACCAAGCCAGCCAAGCCACTTGTCAGTAGCTTTTTTAAGCTATTTTGTTTTATAATATCCTCTGTATTTTGTGCTTGCCATTTGCTCCCATGTAGTTATACACCATCTTCAGTCTTTTTGTCACAATTGATTCCTTCTCTATACTCCAAAATATGCCGATAGCTTCATAATAACAACAAAAAAATAGTGTGTTGGTTTTTCTCAACTTTTCTTCCCCTCAGGGTAACCTTGATAAGCTCTAGAGATGAGACTGCCTCCTACTTCCTTCTACCAGCTTTGGTTTCTGTTCCTACAGTACCAAGCTACTCTCTCAAAGGACAACAGTGACATCCCAGTTGTCAAATTCAATAGAATCTTCTCAGTCCTTGTCCTATTTGACTTTCTAGACAGCTAAGATTATTGAAGTTTACCTTTTTGAGATGTTTTCTCGTCTTTCTCTGATTTTTTTTCTTACACAGGTTCTTTTGTGAGCTCATTATGTACAGAGACTCCAGCTTTGTCCTCCTTCTCTCATTAAATACTACTCCTAAAACAAATGTATCCATTTTCAAGGTTTTGACTCTCACCTTTCTACAAATGCCTCCTAAGTTTCTGCAGGCCCAAACTTCCAAAAGTTGACTCATTTCCTCCACATAGCCCATTAACATTTTAGACTCATCATTTACATGCCTGCTGTGTATGTTTTCTCCTAATTTTTTAATAGATTCTCTTAATGACTCTTCTGTCATCTAGAATTATCTAAGCTGGAAACCCAGAGTCATCTTTTACTGCTTTTTTTCTCCCTTATCTTACACATTGTCTTCTCCAACCTGTGCCCAACCCCCTTGTATCTGATTTCATGTCTTCAGCACTTCTCAACTGGACAGTTGGAAGTAGCCTTCTAACCAGCCTCTTCTTCTCCAGCCATTCTTCTGCATTGCTTCAATTTGCTTCCTGATCCATAGATTGGATACTGTCTTCCTGCTAACAAAATGATTTACTTGCCCATTTTTATAGCAAAAACTCCATGTTTCCTATAAAATTTAAGATCATTCACAACTCGGTTCCAGCCTACTTTCCAGCTGCCTTCCTTCAGCTCTCTGCCCTACCTCATCCTCACTTCTCCACATTCTTTGACTCCATAAAGCCTTCACTTCCCGTCATATCAGACTATTCTCTTTTCTCAGATTTGTCGAACTCTCTGTCTCCATTGTAAAGAAATGTCACTAGAATGCACTTAATTCCTCAGATAAAAATGCTATATAGCACAGATATTTTTAGTCTTTTTAAACACCAATTATAAAGTATTGCTATATCCTGCTTCCGTAGCAGTCTTTAAAAATACCATTTATTTTCTAGACTACATTAATTTTATTTGGTAACTGTAATATACATTGTACTGTACTTTATCTGAATTCATTTTGAGTTCTGAGATCATTTTGAACTCATGAATATTTATAATGTATTAATACCTGTTATCAAGACATTGTTTTGAATATATGTACTAATATAAGTAAATACCAGTCGAGTTGTCTGTTTTTAATTTTGAGAATAAAAATACGCAGTGAAAATTCTCTTAGCTGCTACACTAAGAATTAGATAAACCTATGTAATAGCAAACATTTAAAATCATTTCCTAGAATGTAGTTTTGGATTCTTCAGCCAGTGACTTATACAGAGGAGATGCTTAGTGAATATTGAATTCTGCTAAATTCAAATCCTGTATCTGAAACTGCATCTGATATCATTACTACGTTAGATTGAGAGAACTCCACGTGGCACCAGCTACTTTAGCCAGACGTTTTAATCAGTAGCTCTATTCTCCCAGGTGACTGTATCAAACTGAATGTTTATTCAAAGTACTTTGGAAATTAAAGTTTCTTCTGCTTTTGTTAACTTTATACAGTTACTGATAGGAGATATGTATTACATGTATTAAAGGAATAGGTAATTCCTCTTCAGGAAATTTCATTGTTGGGTCGTATCATGCTGCCACAGATGAATACTGTATTCCATGGCAGTGATGAATAACCTGTAATGAATAACCTAAACTTATTCCAGCTTAGAGAAAACACTTCCAAAGTTTATCTTCTGCCCATGTAAACTCAGTTTTCTTTAGATAAGAAATAAGAACACTGTGGATACATGACTCTGTAGTTAAATTAGAACTCCTCATCAGTCTAACTTCTTTCCAGTATACCTCTTACAAAAGCAGCAAGCCGCAAAATGACCTTAGTCCCTTGTACTATCTAGCCAGAGTAGGTGATGTTGCCCAGTGTAGTGCTCAGAAATCAAAAGATCTGTGTCAGACAAAATTAAGCACTTCTATTCTTATTTTTTTTCATTAATTTTATTTTTTATTGCAGTAACATTGGTTTATAACATTATAAATTTCAAGTGTACGTCATTATATTTTGATTTCTGTGTAGATTACACCATGTTCTCCACCCAAAGACTAATTACAATCCATCACCACACACGTGTGCCTAATCACCCCTTTCACTCTCCTCCCTGCCCCCTTCCCCTCTGGTAACCACCAATCCAATCTCTGTCTCTATGTGATTGTTTGTTGTTGTTGTTTATCTTCTATTTATGAGTGAGATCATAAATAGGTGGTATTTGACTTTCTCCTTCTGACTTATTTCACTTAGCATAATACCCTCAAGATCCATCCATGTTGTCACAAATGGTCAGATTTCATTGTTTTTTTTTTATGACTGAGTAGTATTCCATTGTGTATATATACCATATCTTCTTTATCCATTTGTCCCTTGATGGGCACTAGGTTGCTTCCAAGTCTTGACTATTGTGACTTATGCTGCAGTGAACATAGGGGTGCATCTGTCTTTATGCATTTGTATTTTCATGTTCTTTGGATAATATGCAGCAGTGGAATAGCTGGATCTTATGGTAGTTCTATTCTTAATCTTTTGAGGAATCTCCATAGTGTTTTCCATAATGGCTGCACCAGTTTACATTCCCACTAGCCATGTATGGCAGTTCCCTTTTCTCCACATCTTCTCCAACACTTGTTATTTCCTGTCCCTTTAATTATAGCCATTCTGATGGGCATGAGGTGATATCTCATTGTAGTTTTGATTTTATTTCCCTGATAATTAGTGATGTTGAACATCTTTTCATGTGCCTGTTAGCTCTTTGGAGAAATATCTCTTCAGATCTTTTGCCCATTTTTTAATTGGGTTGTTAGTGTTTTTGTTGTTGATATGTATGAATTCTTTTTGTATTTTGGATATTAAGCCCTTATCAGGTTTGAAAATATCTTCTCCCAATTCTTAGGTTGTTTTTTTGTTTTGTTGATGGTTTCCTTTGCTGTGCAGAAGCTTTTTAGTTTGATGTAGTCCCATTTATTTTTTCTGTTTCCCTTCCCCAGTCAGACATGGTACTTGAAAATATGCTGCTAAGACCAGTCTCAAAGAGTGTACTGCCTGTGTTTTCTTCTAGAAGTTTCATGGTTTCAGGTCTTACATTCAAGTCTTTAACCCATTTTGAGTTAATTTTTGTGTATGGTATAAGATGATGGTCAACTTTTATTCTTTTGCATGTGGCTGTCCAGTTTTCCCAACACCATTTATTGAAGAGACTCTCTCCCTTCTCCATTGTTTATTCCTGGCTCCCTTGTCAAAAATTAGCTGTCCATAGATGTATGGGTTTATTTCTGGGCTTTTGGTTCTGTTCCATTTATCTGTATGTCTGTTTCTGTGCCAGTACCATGCTGTTTTGATTGGCATCACTTTGTAGTTTATTTTGATCTCAGGGAATGTGATACCTCCAGCTTTGTCTTTTTTCTCAGGATTCTTTTGGCTATTCAGGGTCTTTTGTTGTTCCATAAAAATTTTAAGATTCTTTGTTGTATTTCTGTGAAAAATGCCCTGGGAACTTTGATAGGGATTTCGTTGAATCTGTAGATTGCCTTAGAAAGTATGGACTTTTTAACAATGTTAATTCTTCCAATCCAAGAGCATGGAATAGCTTTCCATTTCTTTGTGTCTTCTTCAATTTCTTTCAACAACGTTTTATAGTTTTCAGTGTACTTCTGTTCTTCCATACACCTGGAGCATCCCACTGCGAAGTGTTTGTCTTTTCCTGTTGTTGTTGACGTATGTATTTTCTCATTATGCTGTATGTAAAATCCTTGAGGATAGGAAACAGATCTTGCCACCTGTATGTCTCCATTACTTAAACCCTACATAGTGGGCACTTGGTAAGTTTCTCTTGGAAGTTGTTTTTAAAAATTTTATCAAAGAAAAAATAGTAAATAACCGAAATATTTTCTGCAAAGCTTTGTTAACATAGCATCATTCTTATTCTTACACCTGCTTGGTTATCAAATAATATTACATTCTGTATTTGCTTATTTCATTTGTTTTGTTGCAGTGTTGTTATTAAAAGATGTAGTTTCAATGATTTGAAGTTTTAATTTGATATTATTTTATAACCTCTTTTTACTATAATTATTAATTATAATTGATTTATGCCTTTAAAATACTATTGTTCTAGTTACAGACGAATCTATACCCTCCTATTCTGGAAGTGATATGCCCAGAAATGACAGTAGCATGTGGTCAAAAGTAACTGAGGAAGGAACGGAGCTATCACAACGGCTTGTGAGGAGTGGTTTTGCTGGAACTGAAATAGACCCTGAAAATGAAGAACTTATGCTGAATATTAGCTCTCGACTACAAGCAGCAGTTGAAAAACTCCTAGAAGCCATAAGTGAAACTAGTAGTCAGGTAACCTCCTTATATTGCTCATATACTGCACTGTGTTGGAGGTAGATTTTCTTTTAAGCTGGGGAACAACTAAATGTTTTCTCCCTACACTCCCACAGAAATTTAGTTAGGCTCCCCTTTAATAATTGTTTGCCTTTGTGACAGCCAATACTGTTATCAGTAGTCTTTTTTTCAGGTGGTAAGGGTTAATGTAATGTGCTAGTGGACTCTTCAAGTTCTTAAATTCAATGTTGTTTTAATTTTCAGATTTTATAGACTCTCACACGTAACTTTTTTTGATACCAGAAAAGATTTTAACTTCACCATTGTATGAAATATGCCATTATAATATATAATTATTTGAAGGAATAGTATAAGGGATTTCTAAAACCATAGGCTCTAGTATGTCATGATACATTGCTATTACAATACGATAGATCAAACCTACAGTTCCTTCATGTGACTTTTACATCTTTTTCACAAATATGAATAGATTACCTCACTTTACTATCTCTTTGTATGAAATTAGAGTGAGGGACAGTTTCTACATTTGAGTACTATTTTTATGCAAATTTTAAAGGGATATAACCATTGTCTTTATAACTTAAATTGCTATTTTCTTTGTCTATAAAATTTTTGCACCGTGTTTGTTAATTGTCTCCTAAGTTACTATATGCAGAATTTTTAAAAGTGTTTTCTGCTTTAAAATGAAGTAAATTATTTATTTAAAAAATGTTTAACTTAAAACTAGAGACTCATAACTGTTGTGTTAATCAAATGAGTGCTTCATTGTCATAAGCTATAGGGCCAGTATTATTAACATTTTCATTGATGTCTTTGTTCAGAGTATCCTAGATCCATGTATATTTCAAACCGAAGTTGAAAGAGTGCTGTTGATCTCTTGTTGTTTCTGATGTCTGGCTTTCACTGGAGCCTCTTTTTTCCTCTAAGAAATTATTCTGTATAGTATATTTCTCCAATAGCAGTGAATATTGGATGTAGCAAATCTGACAAATATTTTTACCTATTTTGTGTTTTAATACCTGGTTCACTTACACTTAGGTTAAGTTAGTGATTATAGACCATTTCTTGAGTCATCTCTTAGTTAGTGACCCTTGGAATAATTTGTTAACCACCTACTATTTGGTTAACTTAGCATCAAGCCATTATTTTTTTTTTTCTCTTGTTAACTTGCTATTGGCTTTCAATGAAGAAGGCATTATCAAAATAACATATATTCAGTGAAATATTTGTCCTCTGAATAGTCTTCAGATATGACACTTAACCAGATTTTTCCCCAGGTTCATTCTTCATTGTTGGGAGACAGTCTAAATTCTCTTAGAATATGGACTGTATCTTTAAAAAGCAAAAGAACCCTGAAATTACCACACATTGCAGTGAGAATTCTCTAATTGGCCAGGGAAATATATTGTCATATATCTACTCTTAAACTTCTGGATTGACTGGCCAAACTAAGGTGTTCATATGCAGTTTAAGTAGGTCTCAGGAATGTTTCCATAGATAAATTCTGAAGGTGTAATGTAATATATAGTTATATAATAGAAGAAATTGCTATCTTTGGGCAATTCTTGGTTTTCGGAAGCTGTCTTTCACAGCAGGTACAAAACGGTCGAAAAGCTTTTGCTTCAGTAACTCAGAAACTTCGTTGAGCGTCACAAAGAATTAAAAGAAGTCTAGTATTCTTGGTAACTAAAATCTTTGTGTATTTGCTAATACACAATAGAAAGGATGTCTGTTTACGCAAACAACAATAGTGGTCCCATCTTTCACTAAAACCACCATGAGGTATTTTTTATTGCCAACATCCTAAGTGCTAGTAAGGAAATGGCACCAATAAAAACCTTCGTTTGTTATTATTTTAATAAGACATTAAATTGTACCCTTGGATCAAAGAATTTTAATATTCACTGTATTTTTCTTTAGCCTCTGGTTCAGTAGACTTTACTTAAGCTCAAAGATTGAAATTATGAATGTTATGTCATAATATGAAATTCTGTAGCTACTATAAGAAAATAGATATTTTCTACTAAGGTTTACTATTTTTTACAGTCTTTACTTTTCTAATTAACATAAGCCCTGGATTGGCTTTTAGAATGCTTAATGCATAAGCCGCTAAAAATAAGCTACTCAGCTGAGCCAATTCAGGCATTTTCCGTTGTTGCTTTTTAGCATTTTTGTTTTGTTTTGTTTTGTTTAAAGATTTTATTTTTTCCTTTTTCTCCCCAAAGCGCCCCCGGTACATAGTTGTGTATTCTTTGTTGTGGGTTCTTCTAGTTGTGGCATGTGGGACCCTGCCTCAGCGTGGTCTGATGAGCAGTGCCATGTCCGCGCCCAGGATTCGAACTAACGAAACACTGGGCCGCCTGCAGCGGAGCGCGCGAACTTAACCACTTGGCCACGGGGCCAGCCCCGCTTTTTAGCATTTTTAAAGCTTGAGTGCATACGCATCAAAGTATCCCTTTTTATGTTGAATGATATAGATGATTCTATACTGAATTTCTACATGATCCTGCTTTTTTTTCTTATTTCAGCCGTATTAATGGCTGAATTTAATTTTAATTTCTATGATTTGTACTCTTTCATACCATGAAAACAACTGTTAATACTTTTCCTTTCTTGACCACAATTAAATACTTTGACCTGGATCTTGAGCACTGTTAATACTGTTGCTACTACTTGATACCAATGTAAATTATAGACAGTCTAGTTAATGCAATATAATATTTGTCTTTTGACAAGCACCATGGAAAATGGTAAATAAATCAAAAGTAATCAGTGTTGGACTCGTTCCTACAAGCTACTAAAGAGAAACCTTCCCTGGATTATGATCCATTAATACTGCCAATAGACAAGTGTTTGGGATTAACCTGACACACTCAGTTTCCCATGCCAAGTCACAGCTCATCACATCTGCTTATGTGACCAGATAGTGAGGTACAGTAGGAGCCTCACCGTGGCATTTTCCAGGTTATTCTCAATTTGTTAAATATTAAAGCAACAGTATGTTATTTAACTTTTACCGTATTGCCTTAGTTTAAATATCACTGAACAGATCGGAAAAACTTTGCCTAGAGTAGTAAGTAGTTCTCAAAGTGTAGTCTCTAAACCAGCAACATCAGCATCAGTCAGGCCTTGTTACAAACGTAAATTCTCAGTCCCTACCCCAGACCCACTGAATGATGAGGCCCAGCAACTTGTGTTTGAACAAGTCCTTTGGGTGATTCTGATACACACCAAAGTTTGAGAACCACTGATCTGGACATTAATAGTACAATGTTTACCTTACTCTAGCTGAATTTTGGAGTGTTCTTCCAGTGTTTAGTATATAAAAGGTTGAAATATTTGTTGACATTTGGTATAAAAATCAGATATTTCTTAGTGTATTATATTTTTAAGGCAATAGGAATAGGAGCTTTTAAAAACTTTATTTTAAACTAAATTTAGTTCAGTTACTACTCTTCCGTGGATAGTTGTTTAAAGCCATTGACGTCTTCAGAATATTCTCATTAATCACTAAAATTATTTTGCACTTGAATATTTTTCATAGTCACTTAGATTGATGCAAAATTATGTGTAATCATCTTTGTGTAATTCTGTTTTCCTTTTAATGTGTCATTATTTGGTTCATCTTCATAATGGAGTATTTCCCTTTGCCTTATTTTTTACTTGTTATGAAAAAATCTAAAACAGAACTGAGAGAGACTGCTGTAATATCTTTGTGCTTACAGTGAAAGAAATTTGAGTAAATAGCTCTGTACAGGATACCTTGAGACTAGAAAAGATCAGTATCTGACAGTTTTGCTAAGGTGGGACCAAGTAAAGCTTATTGGAGGACTTGATGCTTGAGATGAGTCATTCATCCATCAAATTTATTCAATGCCTACAATATAACTATTGCTCTCTAGATACTGGACCTACAGCAAAGAACAAAATGGGCAAAGTCCCTGTTCTCATAGAACTTAGAATTTAATGGTGGAGACCAACAATAAACAAACATATAGTATAACAGATGGTGATATCTGCTGTGAAGAGGAAAATAAAATAGAGGGAGATAGAGCAGGATGGGGGAAGGGAACATTTTATATAGGAAAATTAAGGAGAGCTTCTCTGATAAAGTGATATTCAAGCATATTCCTTAAGGAAGTGTGGGAGACAGCCATGTAAGTAAGTAGAGGAAGAATGTTTCAAGCAAAGGAATAGCAAGTAGGAAGGTAGTCATGGGCTTGCACCTTTTGTGGCTGACAAAGAAGCCAGTATGACTGGGGCAAGGAGAGTGGGGAAAGTGTGAGAGATGAGGTGAGAGCCGTACCTGGGAACAAGATCACATGGAGCTTGGGATTTAATTCTTAATGGGACATGGAGTCATTGGGTACAACTTTTTAGCTTTTTAAATTTGAAATAATTCTAGACTTACAGAAAAGTTGCAAAAATGGTACAGAACTCCTATAACCCCCTTCACTCAACTTCTGCTAATATTATCTTGCATAATCATACTATAATTATCAAAACTTATTAATTAAAACTAGTACAATTCTATTAACTAGACTACAGACCATTTGGCTTTTACCAGTTTTTCCACTAGTGTCCTTTTTTGGTTTAGGATCTGTTCCAGGATCTCACGTGCATTTAGTTGTCGTGTCTTCGTCTTCTCCAGTCTCTGGCAGTTAGTTCCAGAGTCTTTCTTTGTCTTTCATAACCTTGACACTTGAAAAGGACTGGCAAGTAATTTTGTAGAACGTCCCTCAATTTGGATTTTTCAGATGTTTTCTCCTGATGACATGAAGCTTATACGTTTTTACCAGAATACCAAAGAAGTGAGGTGCCCTTCTCAGTGTGTCATATCAGAGAGTACATGATGTCAATATGTCTTATTACTGATGATGTTAATCTTGACTGCTTGTAGTATCTTCTGGGTTTCTCCACTGTGCTGTTACTATTTTTTCCTTTTAATTAATAAATATCATGGGGGAGAGACTGAGACTATGCAAATATCCTACTAC